ACAAAACATTATACTCACTTCTTCTGTAGATGAGGCTGGATCATGAATAATTTGCGCAAACATAAGACGCATTTAGGCAGATCGGGGGAGCATTCCCTTCAGAAACAAATGTAATCCACTGCGAGTTCAGCGGCTCAGATGTCGGGAGTAAATGAGGACTGCTGTTCATTATTACATCCAACAACAGAACACCTCAATCGCTTAGGAGCCATTCTTGTCTACATCTGCTCCGGCGGTGAAACAATGGTGGACTGATGACAGTCACTCAGGGCGGAGCTAAGGTAAAACACTACTGTCAATCAAACTATCGTGGGAGGGGTCTGTTTTGTGACGTCACACGGACAGGCATCTGAGATCGGCTCGATTTGTGAAAGGGGTAAAGATTTTAGTAGACTAAAAAAAAAACACTGGGTGGATTTTTATCATTATAGGGTGGTTGTGTACACACACTGCCAACACACATCTCAGTTCAAACAACTTGTAAAAGTGCATGTAGCATCCTATGACCCCTTTAAAGTAGGATATATTTCAGAGTATGTGCTCTATAAATGCACCTGTCCGCATGGTGGAGAAGAACAGCAGCCAGAAGAGGCAGAGGATTGGCGCAGCCACCACTTGATTGACGGCTCCGGAGTGGATTTTCTTGTCGAGTTTGGAGGGCAGGTAAGCGTAGTACATGTTGTACCTGTCCACCAGGTGCTTCAAGAGCATGTACATCAGCCCTGCACACACACACACACACACACACACACACACAATAAGACTCCTGTAATGATGGCTGTGAGGTGATTGGTTAATATTATTTGGTTACATCAACAGATCATATTGTGCTCCAGTGTTTTGGAGCAGCTCGGTTCACAGTAAATGCTGTTCTCCACAAACTACGTGAGTTTGGGTCGTATGCTTTTGAAAACACGACATGCATCAATCATCTTCCCAAACGTCTAATGAGAAGCTCTTATAAACTAGCTGCTGTCAACAAAAGAGAAGCTTTAAGCCCCGCTGCAGTTTTCCACCAAAATAAAAGCTCTATGGTTCTAATGAACCAAATGAAGACGGGCAAAAAATATTAGTATTGCAAATTTACAGTTAAACTAATTCATAATTATCATTATATTATTTTTCTTAACTTTCTTCCATTTTAAAACATTTACAATAATTTCAACCTGTTATTTATAATAGTAGAATCTATTTTGTTTAATATTTTTATTTATTAATAATAATAATAATAATAATAATAATTACTAATACCACCACATTGATATATAGCATCAATTTTTGGGCAAAATTGTGCAGCCCTACAAAAAAAAGCACAGGAACCATTTAGTCTTAAAAAAAAGTAAATAAATATATAACATTTAAATAATTAAATCACATTTTTGGTTGTTAAAATATAGTGTATTATAATAGTAATTGTGATTATTCTGATAAAATTGTGATTATGATCTTTTATATACTATTATAGTTTTTGTAAATATTTAGAATTTTATTTTTATATTTTGTTTTAATTTTAAAGTTTTAAATGTAAAGTTTTAGTTGTCATGTTTTTTTTGTTTTTGTTTTTAAATAATATGCCTATATTGCTTTTATTTGGTTTTAGTGCTTCAACTTAAATGAAAACAAGAAATGTTGGCAACTAGCTGTACTAAAACAAATATATTTTTTTATTTTATTTTATTTCAGTTAACGTTTAGTTCATGTTAATATCCCTGATTGTAATTAGATTTATTTTCCCCAAATCATGCAGCAAAATTTTGAATGCACATATCTACTAAAAGTATATTTCACCAGTTTTTAGTAGCACACTGGTGTATAGATGAGTTTAGAGTAACGAACATGAAAACTACAATATTAATCCTATGAGGTCTTTCTCAGGATCTTTCACGAGACAAAAAACTAAATACGTTTCTAGTGTGTTGTCATTTGAGATGTAACATATAATATTAACATGTGTGCAGACGGACGGTCGTGAGCTTAATCAGACGTTAAACGCTGCGTCTGAAATGAGCATCTCCGTCTGCGTTTACAGTGTGGGCTGAGAGACGGAAATAAAGTTTCCTCCGCATAACAGCGATGAGTCACACACCGCCAGCTCCACGAACGTCTGTGTGTGTGTGTGTGTGTTTCTGAGAGACTTCTAGAAGTAATGCGAGCGTACAAAATCTCAGTGACAGAAAAACAAAGATTAATGCTAAAATGCAGCATGTCCTCCGTCTTGCTGTGTTTTTGCTGTGTAATACGCAGGCGGAGGATCTAGATTTAATCTGACACACACACACACACACACACACGGTGCGTAGGCAGGTGGCTCTGCTGGCGCAGCTTGTGTTTTCCATTGTTGAAGCTGCATGCAGACGTACGACCAGCAGGAGGCGCTCTGGACACACACACTTTTGGTTGGGTCATTCACAGCAATTCTCCCTGTATCCTGGCTTTCATCCTTGTTGTTCGCCTCTCTCTCTTTCTGATTGGCTGTCCTTCTGTGGTTTCCTGAATGGGCTGATGTGGAAGTGGGCGTGGCCGGACTCACCGAAGGGGACAATGATTGGACAGGTGATGCTGTACGTCATAACGACGGTGAAAACGCACATCATCCAGGCGTAGGCAGCTCCGAACTGAAACTCATATGACTGATGCTGCAAGCACACACACACACACACACACACACGCACATTATACAACTACAAACAGCATAGGCTGGAATCACATCCAGGTGAACAGCAGGTAAAAATAACTAATTTGTGGGTGGTTGAATCTCTCAAAATTTGTACAAAAAACCCCCTAAAAAATTCATCACTTCATGAAAGGGCAAAAAATAATACTTTTTTGAGTTAAAAGGAAATCAATTTATTTCAATTTCTATTTATTAAAATGAATTAATATTTGAAGGACCATTAAGGATTTCCCCCCATCGTGACATTATTTTCATGACAAATGAGCACATTTTACACCATTATTGTAATGAAAAAATAATAAATAAATAAATAAATACATAAAATAATTTAAATAAATAAATTGTGAAGTATTTTTACATCATGGTAATATTTGTTGGTCTGGCCTTAATTGATGCTGCTTTAAATAAATAAAGTAATAAATAAAATAATTCAATATATAAATGAATAAATGATTGGATAAAATGCAATTAAATGAATAAAATGCAAATGAATGAATGAATGAACAACAAATAAATAAGTAAATTGAATGAATGAATGACTGACTGACTGAAATAAGGCAAAGTGTATTTTGGCTAAAATGTGCTTAATATTCATGAAAATAATGTCACAATGCAAAAACTATTTAATGGTCCTAAAAACATTTTATTTACTTTATCCAAAATATAATTTCTGATACTTTCTGTGTATTTTGGGATGATGCACGTCCCAGATGTCTTCTGGTCAAGTTTTGTTGGATTCACCAAAGCATTAATGATTATTAACACACAAGCATTAAAGGTCGGAGTGTGCGTGTCTTCATACCCGCTTGACGTTGCGTCTCTCCGCGGCCGAACGAGCCAAACACAGCCGGATCATGTACATGAGCAGACCTGGAATCCGCAGCAGATCCATGGCGTTTCCGATGAACGCCGACGCGATTACGTAATTCACAAAAAACGCTCCGTTATCCGGGAGGAAGACGCACCTGAAATTATGATGAAACCAGGTGAAATTAATCAGCACTTTCATTTATGCACTAAATCCAAACTACTACTAAAAATTAACAGCAGGTTTATGAACAATGTAAAACAGTCAGAATTTCTGTTCATTAATATATGAATAAAATGCTACAAGAAAACAAGAAACACATATGAAGCAGCAAAAATGTTTAAGCATTTCAAAACAATAAAATATGAACAATTAAACATTCTGAATTTTACTTCATTAATATTTGAAAATGTAAATAAAATAAAAAAATACAGAATTTCAGTAAATTAATATATGAATATTTAAATTAAAAAATGCTACAACTGGTAAGAAAGTTTGCAATAAAATGAAATATAAAATAACTAAAAACCTTCAGAATTTCAGTTCAATGATATATGAATATTTAAATTAATAAAATGCTACAACTGGCGAGAAAGTTTAGGCATTTCAATAAAAAATAAATAAATAAATAAATAAAAAAAACTTACTCAAATCTGACGGTAGCTTCGGCCAGGAATTTTTTGTCGAACAGCCAGCGGAAGAAAACGTCCAAACTAATTTAGAGAAGATCATTTAGTATTATGAAACTGCCAACTTTCACACTTGGAGTTTGTGATTTCAGCAAGCCTTTATTTTGAAGAGGCCATATCTTGTAAGAAATGGCAAATTACAAACTCAAGCACAAAAAATATGATCATGTACACACACATACACGCTGTGATAACAATGTGTATATGTGTGCACACAATCATATTCTTTGTGCTCGAGTTTGTAATTTGCCATTTCTTCAGGTTAACATTTTACATGCGAGCTTTGTCACTGTGCGCGCAGTACTGTAATTCACTTGTGCTGTTTTGTCCAACTTTACACGCCATACACTAGCAATCATCACAAGCAAACTAGCAATGTTTAATATACTAAAAAGCTAATTATAGTGAAACCATTCAACACAATAAAAGCTTCTGCACCGAACACATCAGCACAAATATTGCTGACGGAGTCTCGCAGAGATGTTTGGATCAGAGCTTCAGGCAGATACTCAAATATAAATATGCAATTACAGATTCAAATAAACCTCCCACGTCCACAGGGTCTGTCGCCTGCATCACAGATGTAGAGACAGTACCTGCTGAGACCCAGAGACGGCAACAGGAGAACCATGAAGATCAGGAAGGTGTAGCACTTGTGCATGGTGGTCCTGTTCTCGCCCGACCTGAGAAACACGCCAGATTAAACACCCGAGACACTTCAGAGCAGCTATTGCATTTCAGTTGGAGATGACTGTGGGATTGTGGGACTGTACCTGGTCCAATGGGCTTCAAAGAAGACGGAGTAGTAGACGATGGTGGGCAGCAGGGCGGAGAAGGCCCACAGGAGCAGCGTGGGGAAAAACTGGGTGATGATTGGGTTCTAGACACACAGACAAATCGTCATGAGTTTACAGTCACAATAAATGCTCTTTTATCCATTCCAGAAGTGGTTTTCCTTTCCGAACACCTGCTCGTCCATCCCTCATCTCTCTTGGTACGTGAGGAAAATATTATAAAATAATAATGGAAACACTGTTTGGGTGAATTTCAAGGAGAACTTGAAATACAGGTCATATTTCACCCTGAAATCAAAAGCAAATATTTTTGCAAAACTAAAGTCTATTTTTTAGGACCTATTTAGATTTCTTTAATTTTACACACAAAATAAACAAATCAATAAATTATTTAAAAAAAAAATACTAACATTATGTACAAATATTCAGTTATTACAGTAATTTAACTAACTAAAATAAAAAAAATATTTAATATTATTATTATTATTATTATTGAAACTATAATAATAACATTATTTTGTGAATGTAGAAAATTTATTAAACTATTACTGTTATTATTACTGATACATAACTTATTTTAATTATACACTAATTATTATTATTATGGTATTATTATTACTGTTATAATAATAATAATAAATAATAGAAATTATTATGAAATCAAATTAGATGGCATTATCATTGATATTGTCATTATTATGATACATAACTTATTGCAATTATACATTTTATTATGATGCTGACGGATGCATAACATTGTAATTATACATAATTTATTATTATTATAATAATACATAACATACTGTAATTATATAATTATGTATCATGTAATAAATGTATCATCATTATTAATAACAATATAATTATCAAATTAAAATGTAATTGTTGTTGTTAATATAATTTATTAAATTATTACATTCTTCCCATTATTATACAATCTTATTTTAATCATACATAATTTATCAATAATAATAATAATAATAATAATAAGTATTTTTAAATTAAAATAATATGAAATATAATCTATTTGTTGTTATTGTTATTATTAATATAATTACATTATATTATTATGATTATTATTAAGTAATCAATTTATTATTAAGTTATTATTATGACAACTATAGTAATTATACAATTTATTATTACATATGATTTATTATTATTTCTATTATTGTTATTATCGTAAAGAGAATTGTCATGAAAATAATGCAAATCAGTGTGTCAATGCAAAAAATGGCTAACGTTTGCTAATAAAAATGTGATTTAATCTAAATGTAATTAAACTGCCCACTGTTATTCAGAAAAATCCTTCAGCTGCCACTAATTCTTTGGTTTTTCAGCATTTTTGCGTATTTGAACCCTTTTCAGCAATGACGGTATGCTTTTGAGATCCATCTTTTCACACGGAGGACAACTGAGGGACTCAAACACAACTATTACAGAGGATTCAAACACTCACTGATGCTGCAGAAGGAAAAAGCATGTATTGAGAACTTATTTTGCCTTAATATCTTTTTTGTTTTTTCATTTCGTACTGCTCTTCAGAAGCTACAGAAGATACTTACATGTTTCCCAGAAGACAAAATAAGTTACATTTACCCTGATCTTCAAATGTGAATTTTATTTTGTCTAAATATCATCATAGGATTTTTCGGGGTCATTTTTATAAATTCGACTGTTATTTTCTCTTGTGGACTATCTCATTATCTCATGAAATATCTCATTCAGGTCAGTACTAAATAACAAATAACATGCATTTTGTAATATCCCTCATATTTTGTTAAAATAATCAACATTTTGCAAATTCTGCAATGTGCATGTAAACTTCGTAAAATTCTGGATTCTTCTTTTTTTTTTAACCATTCAATTTTTCTGGATTCTCTTTTAATGCCTAAATTAAATTTGAGTAATTATTGAATTTTTAGGGCCCTATGAAATCAGTTTTATTTTTCCCAAATTCTGTTTTCTGTTTTAATTTTTCTGTTTTCTGATTTAATGGTTTTATTAAATTTTAATAATAAACAGCCCCTCTGATTCATTTATTGAATAAAACCGATCGCAGCCTTACGTTCAGATACTCCACAGGCTTGGTGACGTTGAACTTGTCCATAGTGGAGATGATGATGGCCGGGGTGGTGAGGAAGAAGAGGAGGATGAAGAGGATGCAGTTAATGATGAAGCAGCGAAGCCACCAGGAAACTCCTCCCAAAGACAGATTCTCCCTGCGATCAAAACACCACGTCAGCAAACCACACACACACACGCGCACACACACACACACACGCGCACGCACACACACACACACACGCGCACACACGCGCACTCAGCAGAAAGCGTAAAATCTCTTCTCTTGATAAGCTATCCCTTCTCATGGGTAATTCCTGCACATAATGAAGTCAGCAAAGAAACGGCTGACAGACAGAGAGAAGCAGTGGATGCTGAGAATCCAATAACAGCGCACTGCTCTCTGTAAACTATATACGGCCTGCTATGTGTTTACATTAGTACTGTATGTGAAACAGTATTATAGGCATCTATGAAATCAGATTAAGATTTTAATTTTTTTATTTTCATATGGATTCCGTTTTAATGGCTAAATTACATTTTAGTAATTATTGAATTTTTAGGGCTGTACGAAATAATTTTTTCAAATTCGGTTTTATTTTTCTTAATCTTTTCTGGTGTCTGATTTAATAACGGTTTTATAAAATTATAATACAAAACAGCATCTCTGATCAATTTCATTAATAACATTTTACAATTTAATAACTAATTGGGACCTATGAAATGTTTTATCTCTTCAGAAATGTATTATCAAAAACTGTATTAATCAAATGAATGCCATAAAACATTAACAACTTAATTAATGGTTATGAAATTTCGTGTTATACCATAAATCCTATTTTTATGACTCAATTAACAACAACTTCAGTTTAATAAAAAAATTCATTTTAGGGTCCTATGAAATCCATTTGTCCCCTCAAATTTAATTAATTAATTTATTTTCTGTTTTCGGTTTAAATTTTTCTGAATACCATTTTAATGGTTTAATTACATTTTTTTAAATGAAAAGAACATCGGATCAATTTAATGAATAAAACTTTATCAACTTAGTAAGTTAATAAAAGATTGAGATTTAATACAAGAATGATGATTTAATACAAACTGATAAACTGGTAATCAAATGAAGGCACACATCATTAAGTTTAATTAATCTTTAAGAAATCCTAATCCTGTTTTTATGACTAAATTCTTTGCAGGAATCATAGGGTATGCATATCCTACAGCATGCATTATGAATCAAGAAAGTGGAGTTATTTTGCAATCCAGTTTTGTGTAAAAATATCAGAATTATTTGCGCTATGTGTTTACATTAGTACTGTATGTGAAACAGTATTATAGGCATCTATGAAATCAGATTAAGATTTTAATTTTTTTATTTTCATATGGATTCCGTTTTAATGGCTAAATTACATTTTAGTAATTATTGAATTTTTAGGGCTGTACGAAATAATTTTTTCAAATTCGGTTTTATTTTTCTTAATCTTTTCTGGTGTCTGATTTAATAACGGTTTTATAAAATTATAATACAAAACAGCATCTCTGATCAATTTCATTAATAACATTTTACAATTTAATAACTAATTGGGACCTATGAAATGTTTTATCTCTTCAGAAATGTATTATCAAAAACTGTATTAATCAAATGAATGCCATAAAACATTAACAACTTAATTAATGGTTATGAAATTTCGTGTTATACCATAAATCCTATTTTTATGACTCAATTAACAACAACTTCAGTTTAATAAAAAAATTCATTTTAGGGTCCTATGAAATCCATTTGTCCCCTCAAATTTAATTAATTAATTTATTTTCTGTTTTCGGTTTAAATTTTTCTGAATACCATTTTAATGGTTTAATTACATTTTTTTAAATGAAAAGAACATCTGATCAATTTAATGAATAAAACTTTATCAACTTAGTAAGTTAATAAAAGATTGAGATTTAATACAAGAATGATGATTTAATACAAACTGATAAACTGGTAATCAAATGAAGGCACACATCATTAAGTTTAATTAATCTTTAAGAAATCCTAATCCTGTTTTTATGACTGAATTCTTTGCAGGAATCATAGGGTATGCATATCCTACAGCATGCATTATGAATCAAGAAAGTGGAGTTATTTTGCAATCCAGTTTTGTGTAAAAATATCAGAATTATTTGTAAGGTGTAGAACCATCTCAAGGATGATCAGAAGAAATGGACAGCACCTGAGTTAAATATATGAGTGTCACAGCAAAGGGTCTGAATACTTAGGACCATGTGATATTTCAGTTTTTCTTTTTTTAATAAATCTGCAAAAATGTCAACAATTCTGTGTTTTTCTGTCAATATGGGGTGCTGTGTGTACATTGAGGAAAAAAAATTAACTTAAATGATTTTAGCAAATGGCTGCAATATAACAAAGAGTGAAAAATTTAAGGGGGTCTGAATACTTTCCGTACCCACTGTATATATAAAAATTATCAAATTAATAAGTAATTAAAAAAATATTAAGCAAGCATAATTAAAATACACATTAAATGGCTCTTTGGAATAATTGATTTTGACTGGATTCTAAATCTAATTATGTTTTATGACATTTAAAAGGGCCATAACATGGATTTTTTATTATTATTATTTTAATAAGTTCCTTGAAGTTCACTTTTAATATTTAAGTAAGTTTTATGCACGAAAAAAAATAAAAAAAATAAAAAATATACACACACACGTGGAAAATTTTTTATTTTCAACCTTCATTCTGACCCTCTGTCTGAAATGATCCATTTAAGGCTTGTCAGTAATTTTTTTTAATTTAAAATTAATAAACAATTAAAAAATATTAATACAAATATTAATTACGTTTGATTAAAATATCATAAAAATACAATTATTTTACACAATACTTTACCATCATTTTATCCATCATTGACTGAAATAATAAAATAATTTCGTTTAAAAATATATTGTGTAAATAAATCACAAATCATAAATTCACATAAATACTTATTAAACAGCCCTTTGTATACTTGATTCTGATTGGTATGATTGTTTTTTGTTATATTTAACAACTTTTGTGTGCAATATTTTATTTCACAAATTACTTTTAGTACAAAGTAATAAAGTACGTCATTTAGTACAAATATATATATATATATATATATATTAGGGATGCACCGAAATTAAAATTCTTGGCCGAAACCGAAAACCGAAAGAGGGGAAACCAAGGCCGAAAACCGAAACACCGAAAGAAATTATGCCAATTATTAGTACCAGCCTGACAAACGTTGTTGTTGTTGTGATCATAAACTGTATGGATGTGATTACACGGAGATTTTCGTTGTAACGCGCTGCTTTTGCAAGCTTCCATGAAAATGTTTTAGCTTTTGAAAGTAGCCTTGTCACCTGAGCTGAATACAGCGCGCTGATTCGCTGAAATGGACTTATCGGCTTCTGTTCAAAAACAATAAGGCGCTTGTCGGCTTCTGCAGTAAAACGTGAACTCGCGATGCCTTGAAAGTGGACAAAACCGGCTTTTTTGACAAAACGTGTTTAGGGTTCAGATCGAGCTATATGTGGAGAATAATGTACGGCATTTTTTTTAAAGTGGCGTTTATCGGTTTTTGCAAATCAACTCTTCATATATTTTGCAACAATTTATTTTACACAATATTTGTTATGTTTATTTGTAGCTAGTGCTGTTTGTTTTCTAAAGCTCACGTGTCACGCCGTCTCATACTCACATTGCAGTCATGGCCTCGTTCTGGAAGGTGACGAACGCCATGCCCAGCGGCTTGGTGTTGACTTTCTCCTTCTCCTTCCTGTACTCCTCTTTCAGTTTGGCCTCCAGTTTGGTGTAATAACTCACAGCCTCCTCCTGCAACCCCACACAGATGTACGGCACGACTGCATCACAGAACATCAGCAAACGCAAGCCTCCTGAAACTTCCTCCCAGAAGAGTTTTCATTTCCTCTGAACGATTCTTATTCAAGGACACGCTACGGGAGTTCATTAAACTAGTGTGGCTTAAAAAAAATCCATTATTGATTAAAATAAAATCATCTCATTTAGAACTATATAAAAAAATAAACATGTAAATAGATCACTTTAATATGATCAGAATATGTTCAAAAAATTTAACTTATTTAATGGCTATATGGAATACTTGATTTTGATTAAATTCTAATTCTAATTAGAATTCTAATAGTCAATTCATCAAGTTGTTAAATTAAACAATTATAATTTATTAATAATATAATAAATACATTTTAAATTCTATAAAAAAAATTAATTCGTAAATAAAAAAAATGTACATGAAGGAAATCAATAAATATTGACTATATTATAGGTATAAATATTACTAGACTATATATAGTCTAATTTAGTTTATATGAGTCTAATAACATTATATATATATATATATATATAGTCTAATAGTATTTATCATATATTGACTATATCAGTATGCATTTAAACATTAATTAAATAAACAATTTTAAATTGTCAATATACTTATTATATTTTTGCCTAATTGTTTATATGAAAGCAACCAATATACTGTATGTTGACTATTTAATTGTTGTTTCAATATCCACTGAGGTATAATATAAACAAGTTTAATTAAGTCAATTTTTATATTTTTAATTAAATTATTTTAAATAAGTTGATTTCTAAAGTCATTATTAATATTTTTACACAACTGTTTACATGAAATTTAAATGAATTAATATCTAATGAGGTATAACAATTTTAAATAAGCCAATTTATAAATTTTTTACATATTTGCTTATATGAACGCAACCAATAATGGTTGACTATATTATACCTCAGTAGATATTTAAAGGGGTGGTTCACAGTTTTTTTTCTAGGCTTGATTGTGTTTATGGGGTGCAGTCTAACGTGTTAATGCTTCGTTTAAAAAAAAAAAAACGCATTCTTTTTCACATAATTGACCTTTATTCCACACCGCTCTGTCCCTTCTCTGAGAAACGGGCTGATCATTTCCTGCTTTTATGAAGCCCCGCCCTCAGAAATAGGCGATGGGCTCTGATTGGTTAGCTAGCCCAGTGTGTTGTGATTGGCTAAACCGCGTCTAGTGCGCGTCTAAACATCTAAAGCAGCGCAGCATGGCACGCCCCCTTTGCTGCCTTTTCCCAAGGGTGGGGTTTATCTGGGTTTGTGATGTCATGAACCCGGGAAGTAACTCGTTGTAGTCCCTACCAGCCGTTTTTGTAGGCATTAAACTGCCAGAATTTTAAAAGATGAAATCTCTGTTTGCATTGAACTTTCAGCTTCGTAACTTTGCAGATATTGTTTATGCTCAAACAGCATCATTACACACTAACTAACGTTAAAAAAGTGGAATCGCAATCAACCACCCCTTTAAAAATTAAACCATTATAAATAATTTATGAAGTTGTTTATTAATTTGAATATTAATAAAGTAGTAATTATAGGTAGCAAATGTATTCAGAGGCCATTGTCATAAAAGGCAGAAAGTTTTGGTCAGTGATGAGTTTTTCCTCCGGCAGAAACGCTTTGTACTGTACACTGACAGCACAGAGGCATTGTGGGTAATGCGTTCATACCTCTTCACAGCCTGTAATGGCGCAGCAGCACAGGTGACCGCAGGGTTTGGGGTTGATCATGGCAGACATGTGCTCCTTAGCCATCAGATCTGTGAAAAATTTCTTACTGCGTTCAGTCTTCTTCCTGCAGGACACACACGCACACAGACACACACGCAGACACACAGACACAGACAGACACACAGACGTTTAACAGATCGACAGAAGGTCTCCGAGGTCGGCTCAGTAGACAGACTAATTTCTGAACCTAAAAGACAAACTTACGAGCTTCCTATCCTGACCCAAATCGGAGCGATTCATTCAAAACTAGAATCTCACCTCTCGGCGTTGAGGGACATCAGTTTGGCCACGTTGTAACAAACGCGCGCTTCCAGTACAATGCAGTTCTCGTACGCCTGTCTGTGAGACACAAATGAGGAAATCAACATCTCAGTATGACTACGATACCAGACAATCAGCTACAACACAAATCACTCTGGTGAACAGAGAATCGTGGGAATTTCAAACACGTGCAATTTACATTATTTGGAAATGAGAGAACAGATTTTCACAGTTTCTGAGTACACTGTGTAAACAGTGTGTAAAATAAGTTTTCCTTTCATTTGTGTGCAAATCCTTTGTTGTGATTTACTTTTATTATGTATAAACGCTGTTCAAATGTTTGCGGTCAGTAAGTTTTTCTTTGCTTGAAAAGAAATGACACTTCTTATTCATCAAGGCCGCATTCAACTATAAAGACATTCATAATGTTACAAAAGATTCTATTTCAAATAAATGCTGTTCTTTTGAACTTTCTATTCATCAAAGAATCCTGAAAAATAAAATTGTACCACCATTTTCTGGTTAATCTACTGAAGTAGTTAACATTTATTGGTTGCTTTCATGTAAACAGCTGCATAAAAAATATGAATAATCACTTTATAAATTGACTTATTTGAAATCGTTTAATTAATGTTTAAATATCCTAATATATAAAATATATTAGGTATAATATAATCAACATTTATTGGTTACTTTTATGTAAACAATGATAAAAAAATATTTTCTGCATGATTGCTAACAAACAAATAACTAGCAAATTCCTTTTTAAAATCCAATTTTAAAAAGTTACATTTAAAATGCATTATTTTATTGTTACATTAACTGCATTTTAAATGATTCACAAACGAGGAAATCAACATCTCAGTATGACTACGATACCAGACAATCAGCTACAACACAAATCACTCTGGTGAACAGAGAATCGTGGGAATTTCAAACACGTGCAATTTACATTATTTGGAAATGAGAGAACAGATTTTCACAGTTTCTGAGTACACTGTGTAAACAGTGTGTAAAATAAGTTTTCCTTTCATTTGTGTGCAAATCCTTTGTTGTGATTTACTTTTATTATGTATAAACGCTGTTCAAATGTTTGCGGTCAGTAAGTTTTTCTTTGCTTGAAAAGAAATTACACTTCTTATTCATCAAGGCCGCATTCAACTATAAAGACATTCATAATGTTACAAAAGATTCTATTTCAAATAAACGCTGTTCTTTTGAACTTTCTATTCATCAAAGAATCCTGAAAAATAAAATTGTACCACCATTTTCTGGTTAATCTACTAAAGTAGTTAACATTTATTGGTTGCTTTCATGTAAACAGTTGCGTAAAAATATAAATAATCACTTTATAAATGGACTTATTTGAAATCGTTTAATTAATGTTTAAATATCCACTGATATAAACTATCCACTATAATCAACATTTATTGGTTACTTATGTAAACAATGAGAAAAAAATATTTTCTGCATGATTGCTAACAAACAAATAACTAGCAAATTCCTTTTTAAAATCCAGTTTTAAAAAGTTACATTTAAAATGCATTATTTTATTGTTACATTAACTACATTTTAAATGATTAATTGACAATAAAATAAATATTATAAGTCTATTTATTAGTAAGATTTTTTTAAATTAGGAATTTATATTTTTAATCAAAGACACATTATAATGTCCCAAAAGATTTCTATTTCAAATAAATGCTGTTCTTTTGAACTTTCTATTCATCAACAAATCCTGAAAAAAATGAATGTATCATGGTTTCCAGAAAAATATTCAGCAGCACAACTGTTTTCAACATTGCCAATAATAATAAATGTTTCTTGAGCAGCAAATTAAGTGTGTGAGATACAGGGAAAAGGCTAGATAATTACACCTAATTAGATAATTACACCTAATTATACTCCATTCATAACCGGTCCAAAATTAGCCGAACACAAAACGTGTAATGTTATGTTGTTGTATTTTTTAAATGGTTGTATCTCTCAAAAATTAATTGTAAGAAATCTGAAAAAGTAAATGATGTTCTTCGAGGGTCTTAAAGCATTTGCAAAGTTCCCTTACTAAAAATGTTTGTATTTTTATTTTTTTAGAATTTATTTATGCATCTCTTCCAGGTCAAAACAGACCGAATGCATTATGAGGGTTAAAAAAAAGAACTGTTCCTCTAATGCGGTTGACATCGTACCAGATCATCTTCTTTGTAGTGCATCTTGGACGTGTGGCGTCTCAAAACTCATTTAGACAATTACGGCAGATGCTTGCAGAAGCGGAGCTCGCTGGCAGCTCATTGCAAGCTACAGAGAGAACATTCACATCCCTGGCGCCATACAAACCACACACGTGATATTAATATTTTACATGATTTACAGTGGGCAGCTATTCCAGTGACCCATTTAGGATGTAAATGCGATGAGTGTTTAAAGCATAAAGAGGAGAAAAAGAGTCTTCTTACTCAAAGTGTTGTTTTATATGGCTTTCTTCTGCGTATTTGGAGATGCCGTTGATAAATAAAGTGCGTTTCACCTGAGGAGAGGAAAACATGATATTTGGGTTATTTACACATGCACAGACGCTGAAGGACGTTGCAGTGTGGATCGAGGTTAAACGCTCGGCTCAGAAATGTAGGTCAGTGCTATAGACGGACTTCATGAATATTTCACAAGCATTACAGTATTTGTCGCTTTAGCTGCGATGAGCTGCACACGTCACAAGACGTCTCCAGATGGCTTTTCCTGTTATTACTGTATACAAAATTAAGGAAATGGTCAGTCAAAAAAATAATTTAACAATGTTGCAAACCTGTATGATCTGTATAGAGATGTTTAGCAAAATGTTCATGTTGCACTTTTTCATTTAACCCACATAATGCATTTAAAATCGGTATATTATTTTCACATTATGGGTCCGTTTGGAGCTGAAGAATCATTAATTTATAAAAGAGTCATGATATTTGTAATCTAAAAGCATATTGTATCTGATCAGCAACTTCTTATTATTGAGTGAATGTGAAAACATTTCAAAGTTTTGAATGTTACCATGTTATTACTGCATTTACCCCTGTTTTTAAGAATCACATTTTAGAGAAATTCTTTGAAATTTCAAATGACAAAAAAAACAAAGGTTTGTTAATAAGCGTACATCTTCATTTTTATCAATGCAATTCAGTACCAAAAGTGTGTGAGATACAGGGAAAAGGCTAGATAATTACACCTAATTAGATAATTACACCTAATTGTACTCCATTCATAACCGGTCCAAAATGAGCCGAACACAAAACGTGTAATGTTATGTTGTTGTATTTTTTAAATGGTTGTATCTCTCAAAAAATAACTGTAAGAAATCTGAAAAAGTAAATGATGTTCTTCGAGGGTCTTAAAGCATTTCCAAAGTTCCCTTACTAAAAATGTTTGTATTTTTATTTTTTTAGAATTTATTTATGCATCTCTTCCAGGTCAAAACAGACCGAATGCATTATGAGGGTTAAAAAAAAGAACTGTTCCTCTAATGCGGTTGACATCGTACCAGATCATCTTCTTTGTAGTGCATCTTGGACGTGTGGCGTCTCATGCTGTAGACGGTGAGGAGCAGGTACATGAAGGCAAATGACGTGTGCAGCCATAAGAGGTTATTCCTGAATCACAGAGAGAAAGAGACACGTCCACTTAACCAGAACACTCAAAATGCATCATGACCTCTTCAATTAAAGCGTAACTGGGGAGGTTTGGAATAGATGTGCAATGAAAAACCGTCTCACCCAGAATTCAAGTTGGCGATCGTTGTGCGTCCAAAGCTGTATGCGTTGTTTTCTGAGGAAAGAAATAAAAACAACAACTTCATTTGTGCTTTGAAAGCTAACAAACGGGTGATTCATTTTGTGTGCTGAATGCAGTCACAGAACGCAAAAGAATTACATTTTTAAATAAAATGTTAAATAAATATATAAAAAGCAAATAATAATAGACATTAATAATTAAATGACTAAAACAAAGATAAACAAATGCATTAAAAGTAAATAAAAACAACTAAAATAATACAGTTAAAATATGAAACAAAAAATTAATACATCAAAATCAAATCAAAATAGAAAATCAAAAAAAGAAAAAGAAAATAAATACAATAAATAATATTAATAATTTAAAAAATCCAAAATGATGGAGACAGAAATCTGGACTCGAGTCAACTGAATCAAACAAAAGACTTATATACATGATCTCTTAACAAACAGAAAAAAAATAAAGAGAGAATGAATAATATTTCAAATAATATTTTAAAAATTGCTTATTAGATAAAGCGAATTAGGAGATAGTGAGAAAACTAAATTAATACTAAAATACAAAAAATGTATAAATAAAGCTAAATAAACTAAAATAAAAAAAAGATTTAAAAAAACAATAAAATTGCTTTAAAATTAAAATGAAAACAGAAAATATAAAAAAAGAAACTAATTCAAAATATTACTGAAAACTACAGTAGTATATCAATGTTAGTAAAGTGACACCGGCCCGTACAGATGGACTTTCCTTCCACCTAAGGTCTGAAACATACCGTACACAAGAACTATAGATATGAAATTGCATCTTTTGATGCAATGTGTCACAAGCTGAGAAAGTAGATATTTTCTATTGTTATTTTCCCTTGCATGCCTAAATGGCTCATAAAACAACATAAGCTGTCATTGGTGGCTTTATATGTCGCTCAGACAACCTCTTCATAGCCAAACATCTGCGTCAAGCATGTTTCTGACCGAACTCTCTGTCCTCTTTGACTCTGTCCACATTGTTCCCGTCTCTAAGGACTCATCTCTTTGACCTCTTCCCATTAGTTTTTGTGTCTTTGGGCCGCTCTGTCCGTCCCTCTTTCACTGCAACAGGCATCCAATTACCCGGCGAGCAGATAGAAGTCCGATCTCATTACTGGAGCGGAGCGCTGTGGATTAACCCTCTGATAATAATCTACAGCATGCCACGCGAGAGAGCAGAGAGACGGGACACGGGACAGCTCTGTGCTCACAAATATATGATGATGATAATGGGAGTCGCATATATTTTAACTTTATCTTCAGCTGATAATCATCAGCAAGAATCAACAGCTCTTTGTGGCCGATACAGGAACTGATGACTTTACTGGTGTGGACTGAATGTGAGAACATGTACATGGCTCACAAGTTCAATACAGATGCCTTTTAGTCTGTGTTTCCACTTGTTACTTAACCTTGTAAAGCCTGACATGTGAAATAATAGTGTAAAAAAAAAATAAAAAAAAAAGTAAAAATTTTTTTTTTTTAATTGAACCATTTATTGAACCTTTAAACTCTCTTCCTCTCTGGCTATATATATATATATATCATCAGCAAGAATCAACAGCTCTTTGTGTCCGATACATACATATATATATATATATATATATATGTATGTATCGGACACAAAGAGCTGTTGATTCTTGCTGATGATATAGATATATATATATATATATATATATATGTGTGTATGTGTATGTGTGTGTGTGTGTGTGTGTGTGTGTGTGTGTGTGTGCAGGAAGTTGAAGAAAAATAAATTAATTAAAATCATAAAAATGCATAATAAAAATAAATAATTTAAAAATAATAGTCAAAATAAAATGCTTACTAAAAACTAAAATCATAATGTAAAATTTAAATAAATAATAGCAAAATAAAACACTTATTAAAAATGAACAAAATCCTAATATGTACAACAAAAATACATTTTAAAATAACATTTAGAATAAAATGCTTACTAAAAGATAAAATCATAAAAAAGTACAATTAAACTGAATTGTAAAATAACACTAAAAAATGTATACAATTTTAAAATTGTAAAATTAAAATACATTTTAAATATAAAAAGCTGCATAATTAATAAAACCATAAAAATGGGCAATTAAGGAAAATATTTTTTTATAAAAATATAAATAAAACACTATACAAATGAATAATATCATACATAAAATATACAATTAAAATAAATGAATTCATAATCATAATAATAAAACTAAAATGCCTGCTTGAAATGTATAAAAAGTACAATTGAATATACATATAAAAAAAACACATTAAATGAATAAAACTACAGTTATTCTAACATTTACTTGATAAAAATCAGAAAAGATTTAACAGCAGAAAGACACGTGAAGCTCAAGCAGAAGCTGGACGTTTGTACAATACACTAAAAGATCTTTGACTGGATAAAAAAAACCCTCTAAACTAACAATCAGACAACAGAAGTCGCGTATCATGCATCACTAATTTTAAGTTAAATATCTACTTTCTAACCATCACCTACAATCACACAGCTGACCTCTGACCTCCACGGTCCAGGACTCACCCAGCAGGTTGCCTGAGAAGTTGACCGGCAGAACGATGCCCACCGACAGCACGCCCACCACAACCAGCAGACCGATGATGTGCCGCTGGAACGACAGGTAATGAACGGCATCTTCACCGCACTTCTCCCGGATCTCCTCGTCCCTGCGGGGAACGAGACTCACGTTAGCCGCCCCTTATACTTCATGATACAGAGAATATATAGACATATATATATATGTATATGTGTATGTATGTATGTATATATATATATATATATATATATATATATATATATATATAGAATGTGTTTGT